TGTTCTGTTGAAACTGCACAAACATTCGTCGTAAATTACGGTTCGATTACCGTACATATTAAACGAGCAGGTATTTGTCAAAATGTGGGGCGTACGAGCACTCGTTGGTTCGATATAAACGCATTACAAAGACCAAGTTCATTTACCATCTAATAAATGAAATATATATCTATAACACTACAACAATTGAACACTTAATTTGACCACTCTTTTATTATTTATTGTAATTCTATTTCCTGACAATGAGATTTTTATTAATACCTTACCTACAGATGATGCCATTTGACGTCAAATTAAATACTATTGACCGTTACAGCTTAGTGTTTAGTAACCTACGTAATTTATCTCAATTTTAGTTAAGACTTGGAAAATTACTGATTTCTGCCATTACCAATAATGCCGAAACAAAAATCATTACCGCCAATAATTAAAAAACATTTTTTTCCATTAAACAATGGAATTTATAAAATATCCGTATATACACTTTCTTCTCGTTTTAACAGTAAGAAATCAACGTTATAACCCCCTCAAAGTTAATTCAAATTCTCCAATGTACATTAATAAATTAATTTATTTAAGCTTTTACACTCTAGAAGCGACTCATAGTCACCACTTGATTTAACATACCGATATAATAAAATTTAATATTCAATATCAAAACACATATAATGCAAATATGTACGAAATATTGAAATAAAATTGTTCAATGCCTTAATTCGTTTATTATTTTTATCTATGTTAGCTGGAAAAAATATCATTAATATTTCGTTCGAAAATGATGAATATACCTAGCGGGAAAAGCTTCGAGTGCAAAGGGTTAACAATTTCCTAAAAAGTATCCGTACCTTTTCAATAACCGTAAAAGAGTGGATCATTTCGATCCAACCAGTATCCATAGCGATAACATTTTTAACCGTTATTGTTCACCCGAAAGCATCAAATTTTACTGTACGTTTAACAAAGCAACTACGTTGCCCGTAAGCAATTTTTGCCAGAAAAACAGTTGCATAATGTAATGTTACGACATAAAATACGAGCCGCGTTCGTGTATTATTCAGATGACGGTTACAATAGCCGTTGGAAAGCCAGCGCGGCGCGGGTCGTATCAAAAATTCAATAGCACATTCTCCAGGCATAAAATCGTATTTACGTTGAAAAGGTTCGGTGGTGTTCAAAGCGGCGAAGAAAACGCCGCGTGAGCGATGGACACGCGAGAGCAGTTGGGGCCGTCATTGTAACGTTGCTTCAAACATGTAATCCGACGCAGGGATATAATTTTCAAGTTCCAACGGGAAGGATTATTCGACGCAGCGGTGTCGCGACGCGCCGAGAGTTATCAAAAACTTTCATCTTTATTCGGGCAATTTCACGCCATCATAAAAATGTCCGACTCCAATTCCCCTTTTATGGGGCGGATTTCGAAAATCCTCTTACACAAGCTGCCCCGAAGCCCTCTTTTTTACAGGTTTGAAAATTCAGCCCGGAAACCCCAAGACCCGAAAATTTGGCAGAATTCCATGGCTGAGTCAAACGTTGGATTAAAACCAGGCCGATAAATCCCGCGCGTAGAAATTTGGCTATTATCTGATGGAAAATGGATATTAGTTCTTTGCAATGGAGAACATTTTTCGGTGTAAATATATTCGTTATTTTCTGATAGAATGTTGGTAATATTATTTGAAACTAATACAAAGAAAAATGTTTTGCAAATTAAGGAACGGAATGAACATGTTGATCAGAAAGTCTTGTCACATTTCTAAATGGAATTTAGAGACAAATTTCGGTTTTGTGAATTAACGTTTATTGAAGCTTTCCATTGATTTTTGGTTTATTGATTTGCAATATCTATTCGGGTATTTGTAATATAAACGTCAGATTGTAAAGTAAAACAAGATTATTTAGTTAACTTAATATTTTGTTTCTATGCTTTATACGTTGATACATTATACAAAATGTAATATTGAAATTTAAATTGTATAATTTTGTTCCGTTGACCCAAACGGTGATTGAATATTGCTGATCGGATGCATAGGATTAACAGATGATGTTTATGTAGCTACGCGGAACTATTTGAATGTATTATAAAAATGTTTATATTATTATTTTTTTTAAAAATGTGATAGCTTCGATTATAATATTATATTTACATTAATGTTTATAATTTTTACAATATTCATTACATTTACTTGAAATATTGATTTATGGTAATTAAGTACTTAAAGTATCTGCTAGAGATAAAATTTAACCTTTTCCACTTTGATCTTTTCGATACAGTCAAATCGGCAACTACAATCGAGTTTTATAATGAAACTTTCAATAATCTAAAGCTTTGTCTTCTAATAGAAATGAAAGTTGAATTTTGCAATTTAAAATTACCCATAAGATACCTGTGGTGCAAATTATAACGATGCATTTTAACCAAAGCAAAGCAAATGGTGTTATCAAGTGTACCATAAATCTCTCCGTAGCGGAAGTAGAGGTCAATTTCACTTCGACGAAGGTAACTTTCAGTACATGAAATATTCGAACAGGAATGAAAGCAGAACGAAATTGAAACCAAAGAAACTAGATAAATAACTCAAAAATAATATTTTTCGAAGTCGTTTCGTTTTCGGAAAAAATTCGATTCGAATTCTTCTGGAATTTTGGTCTTCTATTGAAACCTTTATTCGATCCACTATATTTTATTGCAAATACCAGTGCACGTATATCAAATAAAATTCCGAATTTGACGTTTTTGAAAACGGTTTTTTGCACGAGGAAAACGTATGTTTTACACCTTTTCATTTTATTTTTCCATGCAAAGTTCAGATATCAAGTCTGAAGGTATACTGTCAATTATGTAATATCTCGTGCGTTTGAAGAGTAATGATTTATTCAGTTCCCTCGAGCAAGTCAAAGGAAATATATTTTAGTGGAGATCACGTCACAGAAATAAAAAGGTGACCAATTAAAAGTCAACAACGCCACGTACGATTCGTAGAATTAAATGCAATAGACGCGGATAACGTTGCGAAAGTAATAACAGAGTCGGCCGAAAACAAATTTCTCGCACGGTTTTTTTCGATCTGGACCAACGACCTTATCTGTACTAGCGGATGTGTCAGTGTTTACACGATTCGTACTCATACTCTGGCAAACTACCTTTTGTTTATCGCTGTACTCGCTTCTGTTCGATGTTTCAACCTCCTCCCCTTACCTTTTCTACTACCACGTCCGTTACTTTTTGCTCTAATTAACTGACGGCCGCCTGCATTTCAGACCCGAACTCCAGTTTCACTGATCTGCTGTTCCCTTTTACATCGGTCTTGTCGATCTCCTAGCCAACATGGCCGCAAATAAATTATTTTCCGCGGTTTTCTACGAATAAACCCTTCATTATCAGACGCTGATTGTTTTAATAGCAGAATGTGAATTGTTAGTTGGTCATTTTAAACTTCTGTGTTTGAATAGTCTTCGAGAAGTGTTTCTATGGGATGTTGTATTGTAAAATAAATGTTTACATATATACTGGGTCAAGAAACATTTGGATTTAATTCATAATTAAATTAGAAATAATAAATTACCAAATTGAACAAATATTAAATATACGCATGTATATTCAATTGTTAAGCTTTACTAATATCTTGGGAACCACAGTTTTAGTTGAGGTCTAAAAAAATTAATTTCTATAAATATGAATTTTAACCCATTGATCTACAATATTGTGCCCGACTCGTGACGAACATTTTTAATTGAATCTGAGAAATCTAAGTGTTATTAAATCTTTTTAAATATAAATTAAACATTACTTTTCTATTATCAATCGTTAACCTTTGCAGTAAACGTATACATAGAATAACCATTAAAATTTGTTGTGTTCTTAATAAATTATTAATGCTAAAGTAGTTGTATCGATCATAGTTAAGAAATAAATCATAGAGCGAGAAGTTAATTAAATAAATATTTTACTGAAGTTTAAAGGTAAAGAAGATTTAGTTTCTGAAGAAACGTGATATAGAAAATACATTATTAAAAAGGTCAATCAGCATTCCTAACAACAAAATACTAGTAAATTGTTATTATAAGAAGTAAGATAAATGTATGACAGAAATTAAAAAGTAATTTTTCTGGAAAGACTTATAGGTTTAATATAAAGTTCGTAGAGCTGTAGATTTATAAATTAACGAAGATATTAAATACTCTACGGTATAAGAACAATTTTATGGTACGATGATTCAGCCTCAAAAGGTGTAACCCATCTTACCGCGCGCACCACAAAATATGACATGGCGGGCACGTATACGACGATAACATGGAAGAACGAAAATGGCAGGGTGAAAAAGGATTCACCGAAATCGCGTTGTAAGCTCTTTGAAGATATCCTTCTTTCTCACTCAAGATACGGGGTGTGAAATATCGACGACAAATTTTTTATAGGACTGTAAATATTTGCTGAGTAAATGATGCAATATATAGTAAAGTATTATTTTAACATTTATATGAATACACGAGGATCTACAAAAAACAACTGTTCTATTTAGATCGTGTATATACATAAATAAAAAACTTTTTTTTATATATATACATATATATATATATATATATATATATATATATATATATATATATATATATATATATATATCAGTAAAGTAAATAGGAAATACAGTTAAAAGTTTTTTATTTTTTAATGCAAAAATAAAACACATTTTTATTCGATAGATATCCATATTTGGAATATTTTTGAAATAATTGGTGTAATATCTTGATGACAGTAAAGCTTTTGACAACTATAACTTTTACAGTTATGTCATCATTTTATAGTAAAGTATTTATTACGTATACATTTAATAATAAAGTATTTCTTATGTATACCGAGTGTCTTAAAAGTTACAATACAGGTGTAACATTTTCAAATAATGATGAAATTAAGAAACAACAATTGTTCTTGTTATAATGCAGCTTTTATTATTTCAGTATATTTAGAAATTTAAAATGTGATATTCTTATTGTTTCAGTGTGGTGGATTTCCGTGCGTCGAAACTGTCAAACGCAAATCACCTAGGGTAAGTTTCACACATGTCAAAAGCAGTTTGCATTCTAGTTAAATAAAATTGAATATATATTATAATGATGACTTATGCAATCGTGCTGCATAAAAGTCTTTAAAAGATTATAAAACACAGATGTTTATAAGATATGATAGATAGAGTTTTAAGTTACTTTTAACATACTGAAACCACGAAGAGAATGGAATTTTATTTCATGTCAATCATTTTAAATATCTTTATAACAGTGTATCTATACTTGCATCAATTACAATAGTCCACTTATAATATTTCCTCGATTATTACTTTCTTTACCGATTTCTTTGAAATCGTGGGGTCAAATATCAATGAATAAAATTTTAAATCACATAAAAAATGCCCTCAAGGCAAAACTATTCCATCGCAGTATATCCCTGAATGAACAAACTAAGTCATTTCAAGATATAACAAAAATGTATAAATGATTTGACTACTACGACTGAAACATTAAATACCATTTAAAAACAAGAATAATAAATATTGACGATGTTTGTCATAAATGAGAATTTTTGTCATCATAACACTCGATGTTAAATCATCATCAAAATACTACATTACATGCGAACCATTTTACGGATTTCAATTTATACCAATTACAATGAACTCGTTTATTTATTGTTCAGTATATTCCCGGAAACTCTAATTGCAAGTAGAAATACATTCAATCGTACGGAAAACAAATCAAACTTTTACATTCAATGTAAAATGTTAATGAAATAGTTAACATTTATCTACTACTACTACTCGATGATACGCAAAAAAAAGGTATTAGTACGTCTCTTACATACAATATGTTAATACCATGTACAAAACGAAAACTTGGTATCTCATATTTCCACTCTATTATCCTATCTATACTCTACAAACCTGTCAACAGTCTCAAGCGACGTGATTGCAGCGAAGACTATCGTTAACCAGTTAGTTATTTCGACTTCTTTAAAAAGTGTATACCTAACTGTGGTATGTGTATGTGTTCAAATCTACAAATAATTTTTTCAAAAATTTTCATTCTAGTAATGTGAATCTATAAAATTTATTGTTTCGAAAATGAATATTCCCTTAACCAGTTAGCTGTTTTTGGACGAGTATACTCGTCATAACACAAAGCCTTGTCATTCCTTTGTGGCAAGTATATTCTTTAAAACTAGCTATCTGGTTAAATCGAAACCAGCCGTAGAAATCAGATTTCGACAGGTATAACTGATTAGCGATCGCTGCTTCCGGTTCTGTTTCCATCCTACTCTGTCTCTCTGAACTGCGAGGGTTGGCAAAGAAGCTTTGCAGGATGAATTTGTGGGTATTCCAGGCGTCTTTCTTATGTAATCAAATTACCCGGATCCAATTAATAGAATCTCGATAACGGGACGACACGTCGGCAGCTGGCATAAAGTTCTTCTCCTCGACTTCATTCGGTCGCGGGGCGGATGGACACACAATCGTAATTAACAGCGCATTCACGATGCACGTATGCAAAGGCCGCGCGCTGTTTGCAAACAGCAATTCGGAGCGTACCGCTGGATTGAATGTACCAAGGGAGCGCACAACACGGGGAATGCGTACATGATCGTCCTGCGCTCGTCTTGCGAGCCTACCCATGAACCTTCACCCTTGGTTGTTCCTATTGTTCGTGCACGCTGTCCAGGCTATGTTAGTAAACGTTGCGTAACACTTTCACACGCCGAATTAACTTTGTGTGGAACAGTTGGGATGAAAAAAGGTTTTCTCGGTTGAAAGTGGACTATATTTGTTGATTAATAATGAGTGAAAAGAGTGTGTGTTGTCCAGTGAGTACAGCGTGATTTGTAATTAACATATGGTGACTACATGTCTGTCTCCTTATCGTGAGTTTGTAACTCTATATATATATATAAAAATAGTGGTGTAGGGCGGTGTCCTTAGTGTCAAATCGGAAAGCCGAAGGATCGGAGTGTTGTCGATGACAGTTTTTTAGCCTACGCCTACATTACTTATGGTGGAGGTAGGGGGTACATCGTCCCTTCTGACTTGCAAGGGTTCCGGTGGCTGTGCGCTCGGGGTTCAAGCGGTTGAGCTGCCGTTTTTATGATATGTCAACATAAATCTACTTGCACCGACGGCTGTGTCCCATCCAATAAACCGTGCTGGAACATCTATAACTGCCCCGATCGTCATTTAGGGCCTGTGCACACAAGTGACGCGAGCCCGCTGCGCCGCAGCGGTTGACGCTGGCGATTTCACGTACATGTACTACACGTAAAGAGCAAATTTCATCTTACACAACATACACAATTAAAAAAAGGAATACATATATTTGTCATCCTTGTTGTGACTATCAAAACGGCAACGGATCGTGACAAAGATGACAAATATATGTATTTCTATTTTTAATTATGTATGTTGTGTAAGATGAAATTTGCTCTGTATATGTGCATGTACCGCATACAATTTCATCTATCACAATATACACAATTAAAGAAAAAAGAAATATATATATATATATA